CTTTAGGACTCTATGGACTCTATGTTTTATCGATGTTTATCCATTAATTTTTCGGGCAGTTTATATGATCTATGAGAAAGAACAAAAAAACAAACCGCAGACAAAAACTAGCAAGGAAACAAAGCAGATCGTTGCTAGTATAAAGAGAAATAATATAATAAATTCATTTGAGATTTAATTTTTAATTCTTGCAAAGTTCATTAACTTCTATTCCTTAAGATCTTGATATTTGATTTTCAATACAAGACAAACTTCTAGATATGTCTATTTATTTTTTGGCATTATCTTGTTTCTATGGTAACATTGAATTTACATGCTAAGAAATGTAGCGAAACTTTTATAAGCACCATATTCGCACAGTTATGACTGTCACGCTTGAAAATTACTCTAGTAAAAGTTTTAATGAATTGACCTCAACAGAAAATTTCTTGTTTATACCACAACAAAAAGACTGCCGGTTTTTCAGCCGATTGAGATTTATGTCGCTGGCACAATTAAGCTCTTCCGAAAACCACTTGCTGTGTTTGTTAGTGAATTGATCTCGTAGTTGGTGAGATTGTGACAAACAAAACTGAAAACACTCCCAATATGTCTCATTAGCTGTGTTTAAAATAGTCTCACCAGTTTTACAGGCAGTTGTAGCCGGAGTTGAAAGCGTTTTGTAAGAAAAACGCTTCAAAGCCGCGAGAAAGATGGAACTAGTGCAGGCCTCTCCTTTACAGCTCAATATTTCTTTTGAAGAAAGATTAACGCTCATTTTTACACCAAGTCGTCTTAACCAACTTAAAAAAAAAAAAACAGCCTACGCTGGATGCGATGGGTTACCAATATTTGTTTGTCAATTGTCGCGAAGAATGTTTTAGCCATACAATAGCACTTCCTAATTGTATCCCCTTTCACTCCTTGAGACCCAATTATGGTGAAATAATTTATCATTCTAACATTTGAATCTTAGTGAACGAAATGCTATGGGGTTAACTTTTAAATGGAACTTCTTTAGTAGAGATTCCGCTTAATAAATGAGAGAATTAATGGGTTAAATATTAAGGAAATCATAAGTATTAAAACACACTAAATCACACCAAAACGTTTTCGAAGCGATTGTAGTTATTTCGGCTAGGTTGAATATTTATATTTTTTCTCTAAACTGTGTGTCTTTTCTTCTTTCTTTCGTGCAAATATTCGTAATAAGAAAATTTATTGAATTCTTTCTTACGATTTGTCAAGATGTTTGTCAAAAAGATCACAAAACAATGATGTTTCAAATAGAGTCGACATATAAGGAACGCTGTTTCTTTTTTTCCAAAGCAAGCTTCACTGGCTAGCCTAGCGATTTTCAGTTGTTAACTGTTGCGAAGAATGTCTTTGTTTACCCTTTGATGCAATGACACAACGAAGTCATGTTTGAACCTATGAAAAACGCCGATCTTCAGTTTCTTCACACCAAGACTTTTTCAACACCGTAGCTGTTCTATGTTTTTTTGCTCTCTCCCTCCTACTTTTCTTCTTTCTTTGATGTCTGTAGCAATCATCAAAATAATCTGATTTGAAATAAAGAAACCTTTTGTATCTTTCTTACTACCAACATCGCTATTCTGAACAGAAAAAAAGAACTTATCTATAATTATAAAATGTTGGTGCTCACAAGGGCGGCATCTTTAAAATAAATTGTTTTCTTCCTTCGCTTTGCATACAATTTTGAACCGATTCAATAGAGAGATATTCCTTGCTCAATTAAAATGCTTCGTAGAAAATGCTTCGTATCCAAGGAATCATAATGAGACAAATATAGCACGGGCAATAATCCTCATTTCGCGCATTCGCATTTCTGCAACCGATGAAAACTGCTCAGAGATTGAATTGAGGTAAGTCATAAACTTATGAATTAAAATTTCGTCATAAATTCGACTTAGATTGCAAGTAGTATAAGACACTCAATTCATAAAGCATTTCACATGATTTCAGTTACGTTCGTTTTCAAAGCACAGAAATGACTGTTTTGTTCTTCAAACCAGCTTATTTCTTAATTCCTAGTCCGCTAAATGTTTCAGTTCTTTAACTTTAAAATAACTAACGCCTATATCCTAAAAAGAAGGAGAAAATTTGTAACATACAAAGAAAAGATATCAAAATACAAGTAAAAAAAAAATGACTAAGTTTAACTTAACTAGTAGAGCAACCTTAACTGAAAAATGAGCAACTGTGGTGACAAATAGTGTCTTGAGCCTAGGCTAAAGGTCAAACAGCAAAGTCAATCAGGGCAAGTGAAACAACATCCTGGGACTCGTTTAAAACTCAGCCTCTGTTCTAAGAGCAATTATAAAAAGTGCTGGCTCAGTTCGAAGCATTTAAATTACGTAAGAAAAACAGTGTTTTCCTTTTACAAAACAACAACAAAATAAAACATTCTCGATGTCGATGAAAAACACTGATGCAGTATTTTATATTGCTCGTTTAAGTGCCACTCTAAATAATAGATCCAACCATGTCTTACCCTCTGACGAGGAGAAAATTGCATTTGATCCACTTCTAAAAAGGAAACTTCTCTCAGTTTTAATGGCTATGGTGACACCAGTTTTGCTCCTTTTGGTTATCTCCACGCTGATTTCCGGGCGCAAGTTTAAACCTGATAACGATCCTGGAAGCGGTAGACCGTATGATGAAAACTATCCAATTGACGAGGAACTTGATTTTGACCCTGGAAACACCTTGGAGGACTCGCCATATGATCCGGATTTTGCAACTGATTCACAGTACGATCCTGGCAGCGTATAAAATAAGGTAGGCAGCTTAAGTGCTTAGTTTTCTTCATAAACTTCAGTACACTCTCTTTTTTATATAAAAATATTGTTTTACCGGGCCAAGCTAAACATTCTTATTTTTCTGCCGATTTTTAGGCCGAAACCATTGTTGTATTTATATTCTTCAAGTATAGATTGTAACATTTCCGTTTTAGAAAGTTTTCGTTTAAAGCCTGTAAGGGATTTTTCAAAATTATATCATTTCTAAAATCTCAGCCTGGGGTTTCATTCTTAGAATATTCTTCAAATTTAAAATTAGTACTGCAGCACTATATATGCTGAGTAAATGCTTATATTTAGAAGTACTGATGGTCGACATGAAGAAGTTTCAGTTGAATGGTCACCCGTCATTGGATTACTTTTATAGACTCCTAATTCACGGAGGCAAATCCGGGTTTTCGTAAGAGAGGGTGGCTGCTACCATTCGGTACAATTGAGGCAAAGGATACACTAGAGTACATCCCTCCCCCCATTTGAAAAAAACTTCAAACTGATATCACGTACGTAACGGAAAGAACGTGCAAATTAAACTAATCTAAAAAACATGTTAGTCAGCCAAAAAGGGGTTTGTCTGCATGGTCTGTTAATAGCCAGCTTCCTTTAATATCAGTGTTCTGATTTAGAGCTACATACCGAATAAATAGCAGATAAAAAATAAATGAAGATACTTTAATTCAACGGTCAGATCACGCACGCTAAGAAGTATGTAATGCAATTCCTCTGCACATTTTACTAACTAAATCTTCTTATCTAGTAATATGATTTAGATGACAGATATCTCTAACATCCCCAAGCGAATCTTAAAATCCCATGCTGTGAAGTCTCTCCTTGCAGTATTTGCTATCGGAGAATAAAAACTCTTTCTCAATGAGAAAAAATCGGCAAAGATTACAGAAACATTCGTTACACTAATCCAATAAAAGCACAAAAGCGGTTTGAAGTTTTTTCCCTTCATACTAACTTTTTATTTTTCTTGTTTTGCAGACAACAATCCAACGGAATGAAAACCATTTTGAATGATACTCTCTTTTAGTCAGATTAGAAGGGATTATTACAGGGAAAACATATCTCATGTAAAAGATTGATGTATTAAAATAGCGGGGAAAATGGCATTACTGTGTCCACAATTTTATGCAGGATCCATCGGAAAAGTAGGGACGGACTTATTGGGGTCGGTGTCAGGGGTCGGGGTGTTCACCGAAAACGTTTTATAGCGGAGCTTCCCCATTGCTCAATTGGAAATTGGAAACCTATCGTAGCGAGAAAATTTGGCTATGACGTCAACGTACGCCCGTCCGCCCAGCCGCACAGACTATTGTGAGTATAGGACAAGGAAAGGCGAAAAAAGAATAGAAAAGACTGGCGGACAGAGAGGGTGAACGAGGGAAGAAAAGAAGGGGAAAGATCGTCCACTCTTGATGTTTCCTGGATATATTTAATCAGAGTCAGGGTATGAAGAGGCCTTGTAAAGTCAAATTTCATTACTACTGGGTTTCTTTTTCTTTTTGCATTTTAATAGCTCTTTGGAAGAAACATTAAAATTTGATCTCTTACAACAATCAAAAAAGCTGAATTGACGTCGAGGTAGCAAACATTTTACAATAATTGTCGGCTGGTTAAATATCCAGCTAATTCAATATACATTTTGTAGGTTTTTGCCTGAATAATTATAGTAGAACTAATGTGATATTGAAATGTTTCTCCCTCTCTCGTGTCCCTTGTTGTTAAACCGAGTTTCTACATGAGAAAAGATGCACGTTATCGCTTAGCTTCAATTTGAAGTTGAAAAATGGCCTGTCCATGTGCATCGCTACAGATGTACTCATATATATATTATATATACTATATACACACCTCATAATAAATAAAGGGGACCATTTTTGATACAGCATATGAACAATAACAATAACGGATATCTTCGATCATCCCTTGTTATGCGATCTTGAACTTACAAGGAATTACCAAAGACAGAATGAGCGTTTTTTTTTTTCTTTTAGTTGGATTAGATATCGATTTTTGTCATCAGTTCGTTCATGTGTTTCGTGCTAAACGGAGTGTAAGCAGAATACAGCTGCATTGTAATTGCCGAGATGGTCGGATATCCTATTCTGCTCTTTCTATTATTAATATTAATCTTGTTAACTTGCTTTCCGTGCAACGTGGTAAGCTTCTTTATCTCACGATGTTTTTCTTGGGTAACTACAATGCACTGTCAGCGGCACGATTAACCTCCCGGTTTGCGTTGCTGTAATTTTTCATAGACTTCCTCGGCTTGTCGAAAGCAAAAATCCAGCGTGGTCTCTCTCGTGAATTCTTTTTGCGTCTCCAGCTAATAAGAAAAAGATTGACAAACACTATTAAAAGAATACTCAAGATCGTCGGAAAATAATAATACCAAAAGCGTTTTAATGTCAACATTTTATACGTGCCCCCCTATGTTTTTAGACGACCTATTTTGCATTTGAATAAGTAAAAAACAAAAAAACTAAGATAGCGACCATTTTCAATTACGTCACGTGTCCACAGCAGCGCGATGGTCGATAAAGTGTTTATTATTAGCAATGTAGAGAGTTATAAAATACCCACCCATAAAAATATAGCTAAGGGTACTCACGCGGTTATTGTGAGGGCCTTGTCACGCGTCACCAACCCCCCACAACAAACCTCCTCGTTACCGAAAGAACGTCTTCGTGGGATGCTAAGCTTAGGGCTGTGGGTAAATAAATATCTTTTAAAGAAACAAACGCCGTCATCGAGTGTCCTTTAATGATGAGAAACCTGAGCTAAGCCCGGTCTCCTTTATATTTAGGGGCTTGATTCTTATTCGCCGACGAGCATACCCGTTTGATGTTATATTGGAGTAGAGTCCTCGGAAACGCTTACGTCGCTTTTCCGGTCATTTGCGATAGTCCGGTCCGGTTTGCCCGGGCTAAGTAGAGTTAGCAATCCCCCTAATGCATATTTGTGCTTGGGCTATGTACATCAGTAACATATATCTTACCACTTGAATAAGACCCCAAATAGCACTAACATTAGGAAAGCTCCGACACCGATCACTATCCACTTCCAGACATTACTATCTGTATTTACAGGTGATGATGGGGATATCCCTGGTGTAGTTGAAGGTTTCAACCAAAATTCTACATCTGATATATTGATCCCAATAGCGCGCTCCAGTTCAGACTTGTAAGTTAGTACAATATCAAGCAAGGTATCTCGCGGTAGCACCGACGAGTTTCCAATGGACAGGCCTGGTGGCTGCTGCACGTAAAAGGCCACCTTAAGGAAACCAGGCAAGTTACCACTTGGGTAACCAGGCAGAAGGTGAACCTGGTCAGCGGTGTAATTAACGCCTGAGGAAGGGATTCGCCTGAAAAAAAACAAAAACAACAAAAAAAATTTTAGTATCATAGTTTATTATCATTATCATTATCATTATTAATATTTCGCAATTAATGAATTCGGCTTTCGTAAGATATGAAGAATTAAGCAGATCGAGGAGGGTGTTATCCACCGAGGCCAAAGGCCGAGGTGGATAACACCTTCCTTCTGTCTGAATTGAATATCAACGACAGTGACATGACAGTGTGGTGCAATTTAAAAAAATGTCAATTTCTTATTAAAAACTCACCTATTTCATGTCATGATACGGAAATTGACCATGAAAAAAAAGAAATTTAAACAAGGTTACAGTCTGTTAACCACTACCAGGCGAAAAATTCTCTGATTGTTTCCTGCCCTTTTCTTAATCATTTCGTTAGTTTATGAAAGCGTGCATCTTTCTTTGGCTCACAGCACTTAGTTCTGGAGGGTCAAAACCATTTTTTTACGCAAGTCTTTTTCCTAATAGCTCAACGAAAAAGTTGGCTGAGATAGATTCGTTCTTTTTCTTTAATCAGTAATTCAGAACGCCGGATTATTTAGTCCAGTTCTGGCCCCTCCAGTGTCACGCAACGCCGGAAGAGACGGAATGAATTCTAGTGAAAGATGTTTCAACCACGAAATTTTGCCCGAAGAAAAAGTATCTTTTCGACAAAAGAAAGTTTTTCCAAAAACAACCTTTTGTCCAATAAGGCGAATTTCCATCCAGTTGCCTCGGTTTATTGCCTAGCTTTTGTCTGAAGGGAAACAGCGAAAATTTCGGCGAAGTTGGTTTAAAGTACTGACTGTTTTCGTTGTTACAAAAAAAATCTCATTGACACAGTTCATGGATGGAAAAAATTGCCTTGCCTTCGACCTGCCGCATATGTTTTGTACCATTGTAAATGCATGCATTTGTGCCAATTATTTTAAAAGACCTTACCTGCGTCTATCCTTTAAAGCACAGCTGGTCTTGTTTCTTGTACAATACTCTGTAGTAGCCTGCGCAATTGCTTCTTTAAACGTTTCTTCAGTTTGGTTACCCCATGCGAACTGTCAAAGAAGAGCCAACAAAGCTTATTTTTTTTACTGTACTTCTTGTACTTCCTGATCCCGCTCCATTCCCATGCATAAGAAGAGTATGAACACTCACCGCACTTATCCCGGAAAATGAAATTTGTAAAGCCTGTTTCTGTTCTTCAGATGATGGTTTACCTGGGGTAGGTAAAGCCCTTTCATCAAGCGGACCTAACAACAAAGGAAAAGACAAACTAATTACCTTACTATAACTAGAGCCTCTCTTGGAGAACCCCTATGCCCTGTGACCGCCATTACACACACAAACATACATAAACTTTTTTATACATTAATTAGAAATTTGTTACACATAACAGAAACTAATATTCAAAACCTTCAGTATAACTATATGAAACCAAAACAAAAATCTAAATAAAGGTAGCACCCTGTATTTTGGTCTTAAAATCTGCAAAGAATCTTGGGCGAAATTATGGGTAGACAATCGCGAAAGGTACGCAGTACTAAATCTATGAACAGGTGTCCAATAGGCCACTTGCACTAAGAGGTCAGGTGACCAATGCTTCCTTTAAACAATGAGTTGGAATCTTGCTGAAGCCAAAAATTTACAGAGTACATAAAAATTATCTTATACCCGACATTTAAGAGGAAACCTATTTAAGATAGATATTTCATGGCACTTTGATTTTTCAACAAAGTATTTGTACTGGCCGCCATGTTGAAGGGCATACTCTTGCCTTCCAACATGGCGGCCAAAACTACTTTTTACTTATATCTTGTTAAACGCTTGATAGTTACGCTCAGATCTGCTGTAAACGTTACCACATCATCTTTTCAACATTTTCTTTGAAGTTTAAGTGCAAAATTTGTGTTCAGAAAGAGGTAATTCATTTAAAAGCCACAGTTTGGTCACGTGAGCAGCTACGAATCACAGCAGCTACCAAATCACTATTATTTTGTTTAAGATATGACCCGCTGGTAGTTTTTCATACAACATCATACAACTTTCATTTTCATAAAAACAATGTCACATGACCTCTTATTGCAAATGGCCTATTGACTACGTACGCAAAAAAGAGTCGATCATTCAAGTACAAACCTAAGATGGTAATCAAAATTAATGAACCGGCCTGGTTTTCAGCCCAGCTATATGATGTGAAGGAAGCATTGGTGGATCCAGGGGGAGGGTCCGAGGGTCCGAACCCCTCTGTCAGACCTGACGCTTGTTTGACTGAGACTGACATTCTTCATCGACAAGATCGTATATCACTTTTTGGCTGGCTGATTTTTTTAATGAAACGCGAGCTGCATTAAGCCACTAAACTAAATTCCAGGGATATTCAAAAATGTAATTGATTTTGGGTACCCTCCTATGATCTGAACCAAAGTTTTGAATCAAAAATTCCTGGATCCGCCCCTGGGGAGAATGCCCAGGACGGCACCAACGACTCGGCTGTTTGAAACTTTCCCCCTAAAGACGAATGCGACGAACAATACTCATCCACTTTTTTTCCAGAATTTGTCTCCGTTATCTATTTCGGCAGTTTCTTAGACTACTGCTCGCACATTCACTTAATAAAAAGAAGGCTGAATAAGGATTTGGTGACTGGTTGCTAGAAAACTAATGCTTTCTTCTTGTTGGGCCATTGTTATTTTCTGCCTAGCAACCCGGACGTAGACTTCTTTTTTTTTTCATTCCTCTAAGGGCCTCTTTACATGGAAGCGGAGGACCCCATGTAGGTAAGGTAAACCGCTTAGGTGGGGTAACCCGCCTGTCCATATAATCTATCATTTTAACTTGATCACGTTTACATGATAGGTGGGGTGACCCACCTAATGTTACCTCACCTATCTCGGGTCCCCAACTCCATGTAAACAGGCCTTAACACTGAGATGTTTTTTTTTTCGTTTCAAAGCGCACCAATCAATTCTCATAGTTAACTGAGATCAGCTAATTTAAAACTCTTAAAAAAGAGAACACGAGACAGCGAGGAAATAAAGAACTTAAAGAAACTGTCACAAAAAGCTAAACTTAACCATTTTCTCAAAAAAGTACTTTCTACGCTGTAGTAGAGGATACAAGAGAGGAACACAAAATGCCATGAATGAATCAATATTCTACTGAAAAACGATTTCTATCAAAAAATGAGAGAAGCCATGCAGAAAGCGTTTTTACTAAAAGTTCCCATTGAACGTAACTGAAAGATGTCTTGTTCAGAGGAAATGACTCTAATGGTCTTCATTTTATCATTCAGAAATGGATGGGCAAAACTGCTGCCATGCAGTGTTACTTACAGGATTCTGGTGTCTTGTCAAAGGAAGAGACACGCTGGTTGTTGCAGTTGTTACCAATACAATACTTGATGACACAGTCCAGGAAGGAAAAGCGGACAGGATTTGACGCTTGGTTGAAGATGGAGTTAAATCTTTCAATGCAGGAACCTGTTTCATCTTTACCAAAGAAATGATAGGATTACAGTTTTTATTTTAAACGTCGCAGCGTTAATCCGGGGGGGGAGTACTCTCTTGTGAGAGGCTAATGGGAATGTGCCGCTGGATGGGGTCGCATTTTCAATAGACTTACTAGAATGGGGTCGTACGGATTTTTGGGGGTAAGACAGTTCCGCTTCATATTTACGGCTAGGAAAAGTACCAGTCGAGATTGTTTGTACTGTAGATGAAAAGTAAAGTATTCTCCAGTCAATCTAAAAAATGGGTCAATTCATAAAAATAAAAAGTGTCTAAGTTGGGATCGCGAAAATTACATATTTGCCCAAAAGTGACAAAGATGGGGTCTCTAACCAGCCACAGAAAAGACTATAACGGGGTAGGGGCTCTGAGAGGCCAGCGACACCTGATAACCAGCAAAAATTAATCTAAGTCTTCCCCCCCCCCATCCCCCGAGCGTTAATAAAATTTTAAACATTTCTGATTGGTGTTTTTTCAAGGGCGTCGTTTATTTCAAAGTTACATTTAATTTCTTAAACCACTGACGACAATTCCAATAATCTATTTTTAAATATAATGTCAAACATACAGAAAGATGTATGAAGTTCGAATTCCAATGGCGACCCTTTACCCTTACTGAGATAGAATCGTAATTGTCTGGATGGTGTAAATTACCCAGTTGTACCGAGTTAATTTCTTAAGGAAGATTTAGACGATCTGAGTTTTACCTACGACTTACTTAACGACAGATCGTGTTGTGTAAATTGAACCCACCACATCCGTACGAAATTCACGACTCGAAAAATGTTATAACGATTTAAAACATGTTTCAAAATCGCACGACAATCGTAATATCGTATTTAAGAAATTATTTGTTAGATAAGCTTCGAAAATTGTATCTGAATGGAATGGTCATCTAAAAGTCTAGGCAATATTTGCTTCTCCGAACCGAAATTTTACAGAAAACAGTCGTTGAGTGCCCCTGAAAGACGATCTAAGTAACGTTTCTTCGCTTTTAGTACTATACCTGTGCAGTTTGCGCACCCTCGTACAATTAAAGTGCGAGGCCTGCTCGAGAAAAATGGACTCATATACTTCAGCTTGTATTTCAACGCAGCAGTGTAACAGTGAGTGGATCCTAAGTTGAGGAATTCGTTTGTCGAACAGGTATGGACAGTTTGTATCTTATTACAAATATCAAGGTTCTCAGCTAACTTTCCTCCGTCTGCGAAGCAAAGGTTACAAGTTCCTGTGAAAGCAAACCAAAGAAAGGTTATACCGAGATCATTTGAGGAACGTTTCAACAAGGATTGTCGTAGTTTCTCCAATAACTTGAATGGAAAATCGAGTAAGGTGTACACTCTATCCCGTTTAAGCAGGGCTTTCAAAAAGCTAACAACTTTATGTCGATTTCCCCGGACGGTTTTTGTACTGCGTGTACGATTGCCCCGTTTTGGAGCAAATGTGACTGTAGTACCGCCTCTAGTAGCATTGAACTCACCCTATTGGGGGTTTACCATTTACCACCGAGAAAAGTAAGCTCTGCCTTAATTAATCACATCAAAACTTTGAAGTCACCGTGAACTGAAATTCTGGACTAGTCAATATTGTTCTCTCTCGTCAAACTGGTTTCGAGCGCGAGCATCCGTTTAATAAACCGATGATCAAAAACAAACCCACTGTACCAAGCGCGCGACTATTAGGCCTAGGTTCGAAAATGTATCCTAGCAACATGCAGAGCATGCTCAACAAAGATCTTACTCGATTCATTCGAGTCTTTCTGGTGAACGCCAAATTTGGGTGAGCAAAGGCAAAGCTATACTGGCAGAGCAGAAACACAGCAAGGAGGATGGCAAACAGGGACACAAGAAACACAAGGGTTACGAAATAACCAGGCATTAGTTCGTGTCTAAGAAATACTACGAAGTTTTAACGAACTGTTACGAAAAGAAAAAGTTGTCCGCATCACACGGAACTGAAACTCACTTTGAATAGGAGGCTTTGGAGAAGCTGTTATTGGCTGTTTGGTGCTGACAATAGTAGCTATGAAAATAAGCATAAAGTTAAAAGATAAAACTTCATTGTTTGAAATGTGATAGCCTGCGAAAACATCCGTTTCTCCTCGCTCTCCGCTGCTGGGGACGTTTCACTCGGAGGAACGTCTGCGACTTTGGAACCCCATGACTACCGGATTTATTACGTAAACATTGATTTGCGTCACCAGTATGGAATTTCTGTCGCTGGGTCGCAGACGTTCCTCCGCGTGAAACGCCCCCAGCGGCAAGGAGCTAGGATGTTTTCGCAGGCTAGAAATGTGACGACACGTGCATTTAGAACTAAGAGGATGTCAAAAATGTCTTCTTTTTTTTTTTTTTAGCTCTTGTAGTCCCCCCAAATTTCATTTATTGTGGTAAACGTTTAGTTGGGTTGATTGGCTATTTGAACCACCTAACTTTTTCCTCAGAGTTAACAATAATCAGTCTTGTTAAATGTCAACCATTTAGCTCAACTAAAACAGCTCCATTTAAATTCCATACGAACAAAATCATAGCAGTTTTAAGCTTAATTTTATACAGATGATAGTGTTTCCAAAATCGTAATGGCGGTGTTTTTCAAAAAACATATCAAGCCCAGAAAAAAAAGGCACAGAATATTCGCACAGGGACCTGGCGATAGCCAGGTTTCTGGTCACTATGGTGAGAATTTTCTTAGGGGGCTTGCTGTCCTGGTTGGTCTGATAGACAAGCTCAGTCCGTGAGCTAACTTACCATAGGGTGGGAATGGGTCTCCATATAAATCCCTAGCGGGGGAGGGTGCTGCAAAAGTGTGGTATTATCCGTTAGTCCCTCTGGAGAATCAATTCACTAATGATGTGTCTGCTTCTAGTTTGTCATGCCAAATTCTTAAATTCTGAGGCCGATTGGCCAATGAAAACATTCCCTTAACCCACCTCCTCGGCTAGGCGTGCGGGGGTTTGGTTGGCTGTCAGGTCAGCGTAAGAGCTAAGTTTCTTTACAATAATTACTTTATTTAAGTCTAGTTAAGATATATAATACTGTACTTGAAGTTACTGAAAGAAGGTTTTTTACACTTCATGAATTATAATCTTAAAGTTAACAAATTTAAATGCCCTCTAACATGAGTAATGTTAAGAAATACTAAGCTAAGGAACCCCCTGGTAAGAACCAAGCTAACCTACATGTAACTTCATAAGACTATAAAAATTCACTTACTCCGATCAGAAGGCTTTTGGGAGGATGTTGTTGGCTTTACAGATGTGACAGTAGAACCTTAAACAATAAACCAAGTTTAAGAGCATTTCTCTGTAACAGTCAAGCAAAGTGGGACCCCCCCCTCCCCCCCCTCAAATTTTGCATGCAATTAGTCATTGTGGGGGGGTGTCTAAAAATGCACTCTGTTCTGGTTGCTCCTTTATTGTTGTCATGGTAACACCAATTGTTTGTTGGTGGCAAAACACCTAATATTTAACTCAGTAACTGTTTGTTAAAAGTGCAAAGTGTGTAGCTCTGTTTCTCAAGTCCATTTAAAACGCTACAACTCAAGACTTAGGGCAGATATAATACCATCATTCTAGTTTGCATTTATGTGGATTGCCTTTTATTATGTCAAATTTGCTTGGCACAAACGCTTTATCAACTACATAGAGCTTCGGCCATTTGAGTTGATGGCTAAAATAAGGTTATCCTTTCCTTGAATTTCTCCAAAAGTACATCAGTTTCAGAGCTAAAACTAAGCGGGCAGTTTACACAGACATTCTAGGTAGTAAGTCTGTAAAAATCTCTACGGGGCGGGCGCTTCTGTTTCCAAGGGCAATTAACAAACAATCTCAAATTTCAGTTTCTGTACGTTTCATCGCAGTTGACAATCTATCTACTCGCCAAAAAAACATCTAAAACACTAAAACTACCTTCAGTATCAAAGAATATTATGCACTGAGTCATTTTCTGGTCAAAAAATTATTACTGGTTTTCAGTGTTTTAAGATAAGGCTTACTTTACGGTTTTCTCCAATTCACCGCTTGTAGCGCAGCATTAATATTAAACAAAAAACCCGGTTGCACGAAACCATTCCATGTGCCCGGTTATGTTGTTTCCCATTGCAAACCATTGTAAGTCTACTCAGTCACTGACAGCAAGTTATCAAGTGATACAGAAGTCATTACACAAGTCCGTTAGCAAGCCAAGCCACATAACACGCACGCTTCCACTTTGCATGTACGGCGTATTTCTTCATCAGATGCCACCAGTCGCCCCAAGAAGAGTTGAGCTCATTATTTTTTAGCCATTAAGCCAAGCATCGGAATTATCTACGTATTAAAATCCGAAACCTCAAGTCCAAAAGCTAAGAAAGTTGAACTAGTGGTCACTCTTTGACATCCCGTGAATATGCAACCAGTCCTGGTCAGCGGTGTTAATTGATTCAACCTAAACAATTTCCGGTAAAAATAAAATCCTTTTCCCCTCACCTCTCATAGATAATGGGGAAAACGACCCCCTGATCGAAGGTTACATCTGCCTTGTTTAGACGGTGAAACGAAATTATTCTTTCTTAGTGAATGTAATCGTGATGTTTCTACTACCCGCAAACTGAAGGGCTCAGCAAATTTCGGAATTAAAGGTATTACCGATTAAATTGACTTCCTACTCTGCCGTGCAAATAAGTTCATTTTAATTTCTTCACTCTTGTGTAAAGTACTAGGGGGGGGGAAGACATGGAGTAACTCCTATGGCCTCTCCCCGTAGGATTTGAAGCAAGATGTCGCTTGGCTTGCTAAGGACTTGTGTATGACTTCTGTATCACTTTATAACCTGCCGTAAGTGACTGAGTAGACTTACAATGGTTTGCAATGGCAAACAGCACAACCAGGCACATGGAATGGTTGGAGCAACCGGGTTTTTTGTCGAATATAAATGCTACGCTACAAGCGGTGAAGTGGAGAAAATCGTAAAGTAAGCCTTACTTTTGATCGATATTGTTCAAAACACTTTTAAAGCCAATTGACCACTCCAGAAATACCATAACATACCATAATGTTCTTTGTTTGTCCCTCCAAAATTTTGCATAAGCATTGTTTTCAGTTTCTCTTGGGGCCATTTTAACTCCCAAGAGAAACTGAAGACAATGCTTATGCAAAATTTTGGGGCGACAATCAAAAAGCATTATGGTATGTTATGGTATTTTCTGGAGTGGCCAATTGCAATACTTGGTATCAGGTCACGTGCGGTAATGAAAATGAAATTCTGGAATTTGGTGAAAATTACTGAGAAGCTCTAAAACCACGCTACAAGATGCGTAATGTTGACAACGTAACCAACCTCAAATAAATGCAAAATACGTGTATGTATATACTTACTTTGATCGGAAGGCTTGCGAGACACTGTTGTTGGGGAGTGTACCGTGGTGACCGTAGAGGCTTAAAAAATAACAAATTTTACGACAAACATAAATTTTACTAGCTTTTTCTAAAAGGTGTTTAAAGGCGTTCTGAACGTCGTGAATATAACTTCTTGAAATTGGTTGGCATCAGAGGAGTTCTAAAATCGAGCAATACTAAAAACCAATACCTAACTACAAAAGAATTAAAATTTACTCACTTTTAACGGAAGGCATTGAAGAAGTTGTTATTGTTTCTGCAGAGGTAACTGTAGAGGTCTTTTGTACAGAGGTGACTGTAGAGGCTTTTAGTACAGAGGTGACTGTAGAAGATTTAAAGAAATTTTAAATTTCAGTTTAATTATAACATGACTATGAACTGATGGAACATGTTTGACTCCTATTAGAATTCCCTTGTTTTCAGCAAACTCTATTATTGCTCTTCGTCTCGGGTCCAATACCAGCAAACGCAACATCAAGAAACTGCAGTTAGTCCAGAACTTAGCAGCACGAATCGTACTTGGTCTCAAAAACTTCGATCATATTTCACAAGGAATTAAATCTTTAAAACTGGCTACCTGTTAGTGACAAAGTCTGCTTGAATGACGCTGTAATGATGTTCAAATGTATAAACAATCTCGTTCCTAATTACATGGCCGAGAAATTCAGCCGACGAAGCCAAATTCACACGAGAAGCACATGACAGAGTTGTCAGCTGTACCTTCCGAGATACCATTGAGCTGTCGGTCAGCGGTCCTTCTCCTACAGAGGGGCAAACTGGCTTTGGAATGGCATCAGTGATAATGTTAAATCAACTGATTCAGTCAACATTTTTAAAAAACGACTAGTCAAACTACTTCTTTCCAATCAATAATTGAATTTGTAAATAGCTAGTTCTATCTCATTTATCATTTTTATTATAAATATCTAATTTTTTGTTCGTACATTTCTTTTATTTCCTCCTTTTTGTTGCAATGTTTTCAATGTTTTTGTTGTTGTTCGTTTGTTGTTTTCTTTGTTGTTTTTGTTGTTTGGTTAAATTGTCTTGTTACTGAAACAATAAAGTGTGTATGCATCTATGTACTTCTTCTTAGGTCTTCTTTGTATTGTAAATTATGAACCACCTGGAAGTTGATGAAGAAATTAAGGGAGATCTTAAGCCGAGCAATACTGCGTAATGTAATACTAAGAAAAAAAAAGCCACAAATTAAAACATTATAACAAGTATTAAAACTGGAAACTCTGGCTATTGAAAAGCGTCGGCGTTAAACCGTTGCTCCCGTGACTATTTGCGCGCTTACAAAGGATGACGACGCATGTTGCGTCCTTTGACTCTCAGAGTGAAGTGCGGCTTATTGTTCCCACGATTCAAAGATAATTTAACTTAAGCAAATCGATACTTTGCCCTCTGACAAGATGATCGCGAGAAGCTTTCCTGCTACTCTCCTAGCTTTTTATTAGGAACTCCAATAGCTCAACTAGTAAATTGTTTTGACTTTAAAAAAATAATAAAGATTTTAAAGCCAGCAGAATGTATAGAATGTAAGAAAAACAAGAATAAAGTCGAAGGATTGCGAATTGCACTCGGAGTTGTTTTTTTCAGCGTGCAGATTAACTATCCTTTCCATCAAACTTATTGGAAATATCCTGGTTATTTTTAGGCTGGTGGCGGGCTACAAAGTAAAGACAAACTGAAGAATTGAAAATTAAGGGAAGACACTTGGTATCACCGAAACGTGCCGAAATGCTTTGTAAGGATACCTGTGCGGGGTACCTTATGAAAATAAAATCCTGTCGAGGTTGGTGAGAATCACAGGATCTCTTAAACAGCGTTAGGGTGCAAGGAGCAAGGATGTCGCAGAGATGAGAGCCCCCTTCTCCCACCAATGTGGCCCCGGCTTCAAATCCCGGCGTCGAAACCATATTTGGGTTGATTTTTTGTTGGTTCTCTCCCGGCCTCCGAGAGGTTTTGCTCCGGGTACTCCGGTTTTTCCCTCTCCTCAAAAACTAACACTTCAGTCCAAATTCCAATTCGATCTGGAACGCACGGACACGTTTTAACCAGTTCATAAGAATTCCTAAGTGCTTCGCATGTAGACAAATTAAAATTTACAAATTACAATTACAATGAACTTGACAATTACACGGAATACTAAGCTGAGACCAAGCTCAGTACCTGCATCTCACTGCATACGAGTAGAACTTCGTAAGTATTATAATGGGTATTAATTGAAACTTCTAAAATATTGCATAGTGTAATCTGTACATCATGAAGATAAATTTCTGCTTATCAGATAAAAATAAACAGTAAGAGCTCTTAAACCGAGCAATATTGCAAAATACTTAGAAATAAGACTGTATAACTGAAAAAGTGTAAAAATATACTCACTTTTATGGGAAGGCGTTCGAGAAGCGGTTGTTGTTTGTAGAGAGGTGACCGTAGAGGCTTTAAAAAATAAATTAAACTCAGAGTTAGTTTGTGATCCTAAAGCCCATGTTTCGCACATTTACAAACAACAACAACAACAACAAAACTTATTTTGTAAACGAACTGTTGCCCCAACGATTCAATGGGACCAATTAGAATGCAGGATTTTGAGAATTCTGCCCTCACCTTGATCGAAAGGCTTTCGAGAGGATGAAGTTGGTTGCACAGTGGTGACCGATGAGACTTAAAAGAAATATATAAAATTTTGAAATTAAACGAGACATATTATTACGAAAACGTACTAAAATGCATTTAATAGGCTGTGCGCGGTATTCATGAAATAAAACAAAAATATTGAAGTTGGTCAAAATTACAGAGCTCTAAAACCACAAAATAATGTTTAATACTAAGAAAAGAACCAAGTTTAATTACAAGTAACTGTGTAAGGCTATAAAAGCCTACTTACTTTGATTGGAGGTCTTTGGAAAAGCTGATGTTGGTTTTACGGAGGTCGCTGTTAAGGCTTAAACCGAAACATCAATTTCAAAATAAGAATCAATACTTAATATTACCAGAACGATAGCCAGTCAAATTCAATATTAGTATTAATGACTTTGGTACAGTGGAACCGCTCTCTACGGACACCCGCTTAATACGGTCACCCGTATTAACTGAGTTCCACTGTACTTTATAAGAATAAAATTCTGGAAATGATGATGTTTGTTTTAGTAGTTCGATTTTAAAACTTCCAATAATACTAAGAATAGTAATGATACGATAAGAAGGCATGACATAACAATATACTCACTTTGATCGGGAAAACTTCGAGAAGCTGTTGTCGGTTGTACAGTGGTGACAGAAGAGGCTTTAACAAAAATACAATTCATCAGATTAAGTGTTACAAAGGGTGTTAATGGAAGATGTTGAAAACATGGACGGAAATTAAAGGAAGACTGAAAAAACCAAGCAATAGTACAAATACTATGAACCTGAACCAAAATCGGAAGGTTTTCGAGAAGCTGTTGCTGGTTGTACAGTAATGACCGTAGATCCTTAAGAAAATCGGCATCACACTTTAAACTTACACGAAATACTAGGTATTGCCAAAACTGGCTAAAACTGCATTCAGGATACCTTTGTTTAGTACTTCTCGAAAAAAGAAAATCCTCGATGTTGGTTTCAATTACAGGAGCTCTCAAAACGGGAAAAGATGCCATGTACTCACTACCACGTATCATTTTTAAATTTATAAATTTTGGTTTAACTACTTTTTAAAGCTTAGCAGTCATCACTGTATAACCAACACAGCTTCTCTAAAAAGAAGCTGTTATTGGTTATACAGCGATGACTGCCAAGCTTTAAAAAGTAGTTAAACCAAAATTTAAAAAAAAAAAATGATACGTGGTATTTCCAGAATGAAGTTTAAGGTTCTTTAAGGATTCACGAGTTCAGTACTTAATGACAAACGAGAATACACATATCTGGAAATCGATGAATTTTAATAGACTGCTAAGTGTTTTTAAAACTGGGCAATGCTGCGTAGTAATAAGGAACCAGCCCCAATAAATCAAAGAAACATTGCCTATACCTGAACTGAAGCCAGCTTACAATGTAAAGGTCAGTAGCGAGAAGCTGAGGCTTTATTAATCAGCTGTTTGTTTTTACAGATCTTAACTGAAAATTTTTGTGCCTAATCTCGGTCCCAGTCCCGTTTACTATTATGTATGTACAGTTTTCAAAATTGTAACGGTACCTTTAAAAATGCATGTTGAGTAGCATACGATACGTCAAGTTTATAAAAATGAATAAGCTGAATATGTTTATTACCGCTGTTTGTGTTCTATTTCTTATCAAGCCACGATGGCCCAAGAGCAAAAGTCTTTATGATATAGCCCACATAACAGCATATAAACCGAGCAATATTGCAAAATACTAAGAAATATGACTGCCTAACTGAAAAAGTGTAAAAATATACTCACTTTTATCAGAAGGCGTTCGAGAAGCGGTTGATGTTTGTAGAGAGGTGACCGTAGAGGCTTTAAAAAATAAATTAAATTCAGACGGTTAGCTAGTGCTTATAGAGCCCATGTTTCGCACATTTACAAACAACAACAACAACAAAACTTGTGAACGAACTGTTACCAGAGCGATTGGAACAATCAGAATGCAGGATTTACAAAATTACATCCTCACCTTGATCGAAAGGCTTTCGAGAGGCTGAAGTTGGTTGCACAGTGGTGACCGATGAGACTTGAAAGAAATATAAAATTTTGAAGTTAACCAAAAACAAGATATTACGAAAGCGTACTAAAATGCATTATTAGGTTGTGCGCGGTATTCATAAAAACCAAAATATCGAAGTTGGTGAAAATTACAGAGCTCCACCACAAAATAATGTGTAATAATTAGAATCAAGTCCAATTATATGTAACTGCGTAAGACTATGAAAACCTACTTACTTTGATTAGAAGTCTTTAGAAAAGTTGATGTTGGTTTTACAGAGGTCACCGTTAAGGCTTAAAAAACATCGAAATTCAAAATAAGAATGACTACTTGGTATTACCAGAACACAGCTTGTCAAATATAATATTAGGATTAATGACACCAGCTTAATACGGACACCCGTATAGAATGGATGCTTCCGATTGTCCCGACACTGGAAAATCTCATATATTTCATTTAAACCCACTGAACACAAGACTCCTGGATAATAAGGACACTATCTCATGTCTCCATAGTGTTCAGGCATATTAACTGAGTTCCACTGTACTTCATGAGAATAAAATTCTGGAAATGATGATGTTTGTTTTAGTAGTTCCTTTTTAAAACTTATAATTATAGTACAAAGAATAGTAATGATGAAAATGCATAGACATAACGATTTACTCACTTTGATCGGGAAAATTTCGGGAAGCTGTTGTTGATTGTACAGTAGTGACCGGAGAGGCTTTAAAAAAAATTAATTTTATAAGATAAAATGTTATGCTGGGTTTTGATGGAAGATGTTGAAAACATGGACGGAAATTAAGGGAAAACTATAAAACCAAGCAATAGTACAAAATACTACATACTCACTTTGATCGGAAGGGTTTTGAGAAGCTGTTGCTGGTTGTACAGTGAAGGCCGTGGATGCTGTAAAAAAAATCGGCATCACACTTTAAAATTACGTGAAATACTATCTATTGCCAAAACTTGCTAAAACTGCATCCAGGAAGTCTTTGTTTAGTACTTCTTGTAAGGATGTTGGTTCAAATTACTGAAGCTCTCCAAACGACAAAAGATAAAAATGCGTGTATACTCACTTTGTCGGGAAGTTTTTAGAGAAGCTGTTATTGGTTATACAGTCACGTACAGTGATGACTGTTAAGCCTTAAAATCTAATACGTGTTATTACCAGGACAAAGTTAAATGTATTCACGAGTTCAGTACTTTATGAGAATACAAAAGTGGAAATAGATGAATTTTAATAGACTAAGTGATTTTAAAAGTGGCAATGTTACGTAATAATAAGAAACGAGCCCACATAGCTGCACATGACCGAGCAACATTTCAAAATACTGAGAAATATGACTGCCTCACTGAAAAAGTGTAAAAATGTACTCACTTTCATCGGAAGGCGTTCGAGAAGCGGTTGTTGTTGGTAGAGAGATGTTCGTAGAGGCTTTAAAAATAAATTAAATTCAGAATTAGTTAGTGCTCATAAAGCCCATGTTTTGTTCATTCACAAATAACAACAACAACACTTGTAAACGAAGTTGCCACAACGATTCAACGGGACCAATCAGAACGCAGGATTCCGAGAATTCCGCCCTCACCTTAAACGAGAGGCTTTCGAGACTCTGATGATGGTTGCACATTGGTGACCGAAGAGATTTTGAAAAAAATATAACTTTTTTGGAAATTTAACCAAGTACAATATATAACGAAAACGTACTAAATGCATTATTAGGCTGTGCGGCTGCGCGATATTCATAAAAACAAAAAAATCGATGTTGGTGAAAATTACAGAGCTCTAAGACCACGAAATCATGCTTACTACTAAGCTCAGAACCAAACGCAATTACAAGTATAAACTGCGTGAGATCGACTATAATTGAAACCTACTCACTTTGGTTGGAAGGCTTTGGAAAAGCTGTTGTTGGTTTTACAGAGGTTGCTGTTGAGGTTTTAAAAACATTAAATTAAAAATAAGAATGAATACTTGGTATTACCAGAACATAGCTGCTCAAATTATGTAATATTAGGATTAATTAAAAGTAATTCCCTTGTTTTGCAATGCGCATCACCCAGTGTGCATAACACTTTTTTTAGTCTAGTTTCTTTTTTTTTCTTTTTTTTTTTTCCCGGAACGTGTTTAAAATGTATTAATAGGATTTATGTGCCCTAAATGTCATGAAACAAACTTATTTTTAAAAGGAGTTTAAAACCGAGCAATACTAAAAACATTAAGACCTAACTGCAAAAGTATAAAAATTTTCTCACTTTCATCGGAAGGCGTTGTAGAAGCTGTTGTTGCTTGTACAGAGCTGACTGCAGAGGCTTTAAAGAAATTTCAAATTTTAGTTTGATTACGACACAACTGCGCAGGTCTTATATACATCTATCACATGATAGAAATTTTTTTTACTTTTACGTAGGTTTCGGTTACTTCATGGAAATAAAATTCTAGAAGCTTGTGAAAATCACCGAAACTCTTATACAACACAATTACCCGGAATACTAAGCAAAGACCAAGCTTACTTACATGTGACTGCACAGGATTACAACAATCGACTCACTTTGAACGGAAGCCTTTTGAGAAGCTGTTTCTCTTTGCGCAGAGATGACCATAGAGGTTTTAATGTATTAAATTCAGAATTAGCTAGTGCTTATAAAACTAAGCCCATGCTTCAAAGGAATGTTGTATAATTTAAAAGTTTCAGCTCATTCACAAGCAATAAATGACCGTGTAAAAGAACTTGAAGCTGCCACAACGATTCAACGGAACCAATCAGAATAATGCATGATTTTGAGAACTCCGTTTTCACCATGATCGAAAGGATTTCGTGAAACTGATATTGGTTGCAAAGTGGTTACCGTAGAGGCATTGAAAACATCCATAAAATATCTAAATTAACATGAAACCATACAATTGCCAGAACGTAACGAAATACATCATTAGGATACTTGCGCGCGTTATTCATGAATCAAAACAAAATCTTCGCGTTTGAGAAAAATACAGAGCTCTAAAACCGGCAAATGTTGTGCAATGCTTTAAAGACAGATCTTATCAACGAGTGACTGCGTAAAAGTAAAATCTACTTACTTTGATGGGAAGGCTTTGGGGAAACTGTTGTTGGTTCTACAAAGGTGACTGTAACGGCTTTAAAGACATTAGATTTAAAATTAGAAATAATACCAAAACATTAATATTAGGATTCAGGAGTTTGGTACTTCATGAGAATATTATTCTGGAAATTCATGAATTTAAGTAGTGTTTTAAAACCAGACAATAATACTGTATAAGCATTACAATCAGAATGTATAGGCATGACAATGTACTCACTTTGATCGGAAGGCTTTCGAGAAGCTGTTGTTGGCTGTACAGTCATGGTGGCCGTAAAGGCTTCAACAAATAAACACATTAAATTTCAAATATTGAAAACGATACTTGGTATTACAAGAACAACATGGTTAAATGTGCAGTTAAGATTCATTTTGGTACTTTTTGAGAATAAGATTCTGGTAGGCCTTGTTGGCTAATATCACTAAGAACGTCAAGCTCGCATAAATGCATATAAGTATTAATGGTAATATATACACTCACTTTGATCAGATAGCTTTCGAGAAACTGTTGTTGGTTGTGCAGTGGTGGCTGTGGACTCTTCTAAAAATAAACCAAATTTAATTTTAGACTAAATTTTATAATGAATATTAATATCTAGGTTGGTGAAAATCACAGAGCTCTAAAGCCACGAAATAATGTGTAACACTAAACTAAGAACCAAGTCAATTACAAGCAACTGCGTAAGGTTATAAAAACCTACTTACTTTGATTGGAAGGCTTAGGAAAAGCTGTTGTTGGTTTTACAGAGGTGACTGTAAAGGCTTTAAAAAACATCACAATTAAAAATATATAATAACACTTCCTATTCTCAGAACATAGTTAAATGTAATAGGATTAATGAGTTTGGTGCTTCACGAGAATAAAATAAAGGTCTGAAATTGATGTAGTGCATGTTTTACTGTGAAACTCACAAGACCGTTAACCATCAGAAATATTTACGGAATGTTGTGTTGCGAGGAAAAAGCTAATAAGGCGCAAGATAACTAAACCGCAAACAGCAAAGGTAGTTAGTTTTTTGGTTTTGAGGTTTGCTCGCGTGTCTGAACTTTATTGTGATTAGTCAGTAAACAATTAACTTTCCTAAAATTTTTCAAGTGTTCACGGTTTTCTGAGTAAACCGTGCAATAGTAATATATAACAATTATTCACCGAAGTGGAGGTGGCTAGTGATGGAATATTTACGAGCCCGCGAAGCGGCGAGGTAAATACTACCACTAGCCACCGACACTGAGGTGAATAATTGTTTTAGTATATACTAAAACAATGAGATAATTGAGCACAAAAATGATGATTTTTAACTCCTTTACTGTTGCCATCGATTACAGTTTTGGCGCGCAATGACCATTCACTGATTGAGTAGCCAATCAGAGCGCGCGAAAAACACTATCCACTGTTTTAGTATATACTTAATAGATTTAGCCAGAGCTAAAAGCGAAGCTCACGTCAGCGGATACCCTGTTTTGACAGCTGTCAATTGACCATGATAAGGATGTCTAACATCAAGTTAAACACAGGTTACAGGCCTCCACGTTTCCCGGTGGTGCGGAAGGAATGGGCGGACGTACAGTCACTTGATTACCGAATTTTCTCGGATGGACAGATTACCAAATGTTCTTAGGTGTGGGGCTCCGCTCGCGCGCGTGGAGCTCCGCTACTAGAAATCTCAGATGATACACTCACTTGGGTCAGGGGAAGACCTTCGGGAAGCTGTTGTCGTTTGTACAGTGGTGGCAGTAGAGGCTTTTCAAAAAAAATCAAATTTTGGATTAAACATAACCCTATATAGGAATTGTTAGAACATGAGTAACACATACTTAGGATCCCTATATCCCGTAAATCATGAATTGATAGACTTCTGTAAGTCTAAAAAACTTTGCCGCTCTCGGCAGATATGTCGCAAAAATGTGAAAACTGAGGAGTTATTCTGGGGCGAAGATGTTAAATGGAACATTTGTCTCCATATTTAAAACCCTGGGCTTTTGGGTGTGCAAATGTGGCATTTTCCATCTTTGCCCCTTTGCGACCTCCGTTTTCACATTGTTGCGACAAACGTGCAAGGAATGCCTTTTATTGTCCAAAGAAGCTCTAAGGTCGAGCAATGTTGAGTAATACTATAAAATTCGACCACGCTGATAATATAACTGACCTAGTATAACTCAAAACTGGAAAGTGTAACCAGAAAAATACACTCATTTTGATCAAAGGGATTTCGAGAAGCTGATACAAGTTGTACGGTGGTGACGCTAGAGCGCGGCTTTAGCAGAAATTAATCAAATTTTAAAATTGAAGAAGATGCTTGGGAATCTCGGTATCATCGCTGCGTGCCGAATGCATTATTAAGATACCTGTTTCTGTTACTTCATGAAAATAAAATTTAAGAAGTTGGTGAAAAAATACAGAATCTGGCTCTTAATCCGAGCAATGACGAGAAATACCAGGCTGACAATCATTAAGTCATTAAGCTTAACGAGTACCTGCATTATTATGATATTAGAATATAATTTACTTACTTTGTTCGGAAGGCTTTTCTGAGGTACTTGATGGTTTTACAGAGATAAACGTTGAGGCTTTAAAAGAATCAAAATTAGAATAGTGCTTAATACTAACAAAATATCGTTAAATGTTCTATTAAGATTCATGAGTAAATTTCTTCAGGAGGATTATTTTAGAAATTGATCAGTTTTAAAAATGCTTGAATATACCAGGAAATGTTGTGTTCTGAGAACCAAGCTCACAAAAACTGCATTAATTAACTAAAATATTTTAGTAAAATCCAACTGGTGGTCTGCGTTCTGATTGGTTGAGCTACTACTGGGCTATATGTTATAGCCCACTAGTAGTGAAAAGTGCCGGCTTTGAAAACCAAAAGTTTTTTTGTCTCGATATTTTTGACCAAGTAGTTGGATTTTACTAAAGCAATTATTCCTCTTGCCCTCATTGCCTCTGTGTCAATAGCCCATTCGACCTTCGGCCTCTTGGGCTATTGACTCAGAGGCCATAAGGGCAAGAGGAATAATTGTTAATTAATTCTTACTTTGATAGAAAGGCTTTCGAGAAGCTGTCATGGGCTGTACATTGGTGACCGTACTATATCAAATTTTGATTGAATCTTTCATAGTTATTAATGGAGCACGTTTAAAACTAGGGTTCATTTGCTCTTTACATCATACAAATAAAATCTGGAAATTAATGAACGGTAAAGGAGATCTAGCAAGAACCAAGAAATGTTGCAAATACTAAGAACCAAGAGGCCACCTAACCACAATAAACATATTTCATCGGAAGGCGTTCGAGAAGCTGTTGTTCGTTGTTCTGTGGGTGGCCATTTAAGTTTAATTATAATATTAATAACTAGTGCTTTAAATGAATAGTTTTTTCTTTTTTTCGAGCGAATTAATTGTAAAAAGGATTTTAATAGTTAGCATTGTTGTCAATAAAGTTTTTTTCCAAATTAAAAAATTAATAAAGATGATTATTTTAATAGAGCACTTTTGACATATACTTAGGATTTTATGATATTCAAAGAACACGTTTATCATATACATAGGATTTTATGATATTAATAGAACACGTTTGACATATACATATATTAATTTTTGTGTCCATTAGATCATGAGAATAAGACTTTTGGAAGTTGATGACGAAAACTATTTAAGGGAAGAATAAAGACCAGATTAACAAAACAATGATAAAAATGGAAACTATAACCCCAAAAATGTATAAGCTTATACTCAATTTGATCGCCAAAGATCTTTGAGAGGCTGATGTAAGTTGTACAGTAGTGATCGTAGAGGCTTTGAAACAAAATTACCAAATTTTAAAATTAAAGAAGATATTTGGTATAATCGGGACGGCCGAAATGAATTGATCATGATTAGGATACCTGAATTCGGTACGGACTTCACGAAAATAAAATGCTAGAATGGTGAAAATTACAGCAGCGCTTTCACTTAATGATGATGCGTTATACTAAACTAAGAAACAGGCCAGCCTCGCATGAATTTGCATAACGTTATAGTAATCTACTCACTTTTGAAAGGAGGCTTTTGAGAAACTCTTGTTGAATGTGAACGAGAGGTGACTGTAGAAGCTTTTAAGATACATCAATATCAAAATCAGTCAAAAACAATACTTGAAATTTTAATGATTAATCAATTATACATTCGTGAATTCCGTACTTCATGAAAATAAAATTCTGGAAATTTAAGTTTTAATTTTTAAAAGAGTGCTTTTTGCGTAACACTTAAAGCCAGCAATTAAAAATGCACAGATTACGTATGAAAATATACTGGAATACTTTTATCGGAAGGCTATCGAGATGCCGCCGTTGGTTGTATAGTGGTTCTTTAACAATTATTCCTCGAGCCCGAATGGGCTCTGAGTCAATAGCCCATGAGGCCGAAGCCCAAATGGGCTATTGACTCAGAGGCCATGAGGGCGAGAGGAATAATTGTTTTAGTAAAATCCAACTACTTGGTCAAAAAAATCGAAACAAAACAGCTTTAGTTAGCAAAACGCGATTCAGCCGCCATTGTTTTGGTTTTCAAAGCCGGTGCTTTTCGCTGAGTGGGCTATAACATATAACCTAGTAGTAGCTCAACCAATCAGAACGCAGTATTGATAATAGACCACTAGTTGGATTTTACTAAAAAACGTTATCATACTTATTAAATATATTGACAAGTGTTAATGGAATATGTTTAGAATACAGGATTTATTATGTGTCTTTATATGCATCCTTATTATGCGTCTATGTATCATGAAAATAAACGTCTAGAAATTGAATTGAGTCATGTGTTAAGACGTTGATGAAAATTGAAAATCAAAGACCGAGGTAACTGCCGAGAAATTGATGAAAATTATAGAGCTCTAAGGGCGAGTCATGTTGTCAAAGAACTAAGAACCTGATAACCATCTAAGGCTACGGTAAAACGGATAACAAAAACGTTCAACTTGTTTTCCAACATTGCTGCCAAACGATTTGAAGAGCAATGTTGCGCGTTTTACCATCCACGCTCAAACCTGTCTTGAAACAAATCAGGTTGTTGCAAGTTACGAGGATACTGACTTCGAATTCTGATTGGTTAATATTACGCTGGATTCAAGCCATATATGGGAGTTAGGTCAGCTGCTACAAAACCAGTTTGCCTTAAGCCGGCCGGTAAAACGCGCAGCGTGTAGAGATTTTGTTGCACAAAGTAGAACTACTCTCTACTTTCTACAACATTTTTTCGCAACTTGCAACAATTTGATTTTTTACAGGAGTGGTAAAATGCCCAACATCGCATTTAGTTGCACGTTTAGATTTTGTTGCCTATTTCACCGATCCTTACTCCAAACGTTTGAAAATATGCTCACTTTGATCAGAAGGCTTTTGAGAAGCTGTCGCTGGTGGTACAATGGTGACCGTAGAGGCTTAAAAAAGGATCATCAAATTTCATATCAGTAAATATAACAGTAAATATTAATAACTCCTACGTCATTTACACTCTTAAAAATCAACTTCTGAAATCTGCTGAGGAAATTGAGGAAACTCTAAAACCGAACAATATTGCGAAATACTAAGAACGAAGACACCAAGACCATCGATTGCAAAAGAATGAAAATATAATCACTTTCATCGGAAGGTTTTCGCGAGGCTGTAGTATTTGGTTGTACACTGGTGACCGTATAGGCTATAAAAAATTTGTACTTCCTATTTATATTCACGACTAAGAGACGGGAATGGGTGTGCAGCTCGAGCTATGGAGCCTGAGTGTTTAATGCCGTCCAAATAACATACAAAGTTCAACATCATAACTAAAGAATGGTATACAAATATTCCTAAATAAAGTCACTCAGGCTAAACTATTCACGTGCGCCGCCTGATACGAAAACCCAAAAAACCCAATGGGAAAAAATTGGGAACGTATTCCCCAACCGATGCGGTCGCACAACCTCTGGGGGTTAAAGGTAAAAAATCAATCGATAGATGAATAAAGTAAGATATAAAAATAAAATTTGATAGTTCGAGAGCTGAGATGAATACATTACAACTGTCAAAACCTTATATACCTTACAACAATAGAGTCAATTAACGCCATAGCGGCTCACGTGCGTTCATACCAATAGGAAAGTATTTACATTCTCTGTCACTGCCACTACGTTTAGCTCCGCCGAATGTAAATACATAAAATTTTAGGCCTCGCGAAGATTCGTCGCGCGCGCAGCGCGTCGACCGCGGTCAAAATTAAAGAGGAGGCCTTAAAACAGCTCAATGACACCTAATACTAAACTACACGTAGGAACAAGACCCATCGACATGCAATTGCATAATATCAAAATAATCTACTTACTTTGATCGGAAGGCTTTTGAGAAGCTGTTGTTGGTTGTGCAGAGGAGACTGTAGATGCTTTAACAAATTCTAGATTAAATACAACGGTAAGTAATATTAATGAAAACGTCAATACATTAATTTTGGGATTCCTGCGTCCCTTTAAACTCTTGAAAAATGAACTTTTAATTTTACATTTGGACAGGGAACCCTAAAACCGAAATTCTAAAAGCCAAGACAACCAAACTGCAAAGGTTTAAAATCATACGGACTTCCAACTGAAGGCTCTCGTGAAGCTGTTGTTAGCTGCACATTGGTAATGGCAGAGGCTTTAAAAACTAAATCAACTTAACTCTCGGACGCACAAGTAAAGTCATACCCCCACCGTTGCACAAAAGAGGGAGATTGATGGAGCCTCTCCCTTGACTTTTTGATATGATGCAATATTTGGAAAAGATTTTGTCTTCAGTAAAAAGCCCTTCATCTTCTCAATAAGATGACAGGTATATTTTATGGGTGGTGGCGCTGCTGGAGGCCTCTAACGTCACCAATAGTGACCTGAAAATCAAACGCATCCACAATAATCAACTTACTTTGATCGGAAAGCTTTTGAGAAGATGTTTTTGGTTGTACAGAGCTGACCTTTGAGGCTTAAAAAAATAATTAGATTAAAAATTAATAATAATAATAATAATAATAATAACATTTATTTATATCGCGCAAATCATCTAATTAACTATACAGTTTTGAAATGCGCCTTACAATCATTGCCAGAAATCGTGGACATTTCGCGCCCGTGATCAATTGTCAGCGGAATCTCGTTTTTAAAATGGCGGACAAAAACTATCGTAGTCAGGGAAAGCGTATCCCTCGCGATTTTTTAAATAATTTGAGCTCTGTGGATCTGTTTTACGAAGAAAAAAGCTGGAATTAAACACCTTGCAAGAAAATGTTAGGTTTATACTCGGCCGAGCGGCTGATAGCAACAAAACAGTATGCGGATGTACCTTTCGTGGCATTTTCGTGACAATTTTGTTTTAAAACCAAGCTTGGTAGGCTAATCGAGGATTTTTGAATGACTGGAACCTAGTTTATATCCCGTGAAGCATCTCTGGAGTTGTAGCAACAAACAAAATGGCGATTCGGTGAGGTCTGGAGTTGTGAAGCTTTGTCCGACCGAAATGTGTCATTCGCAACCATGGCGTCCATTACTGGACTACAGATGGAAAACTGAGGGAAATAATGCGCCTTTGGAAGTATTTTGCAGTGCAAAAATCGTCCTTTTAACGACTGTTTTGGAAACATCTTCCATCGCAGAAGTGATATCGAGTCGGGCAAATTTACTTCAGTGAAGGGTTTATCCTCTAATCGACGAGTATTTCGCATGACTTCGGCAAGATTTTAAGACAATGTATGAAGAAATGGAGCGTACAACAAGGAATAAAAGTGCCCACGTCAGGAAGTAAGTAAACGTACTTCTAATTAGCTATTTTTAACCCAGATGCGAGGGTTACACAGCACTTAACATGTTTCGAGTCGGGCACCGAACACCCGTGAGCTCATAATCGATATATTTGAAAAAGTTTCCTTATCTCCATACATTTTCTTATACGAATTCGCAGCCATTGTGGCCTTAGTGCGCACGCGCAACCGCCATCTTGTCCCTAATTTCTGGCAATGTAAAGATCCAAAAAATATATAATTAACAATATATAGTCAAAATTACACGAATGAATAATTATCTAGTCTATAAATTACAGCATTATATCAGAAAAGGCTTTTTTGAAAAGGTGAGTCTTCAAATTACGTTTAAAAACTTCAAAAAAAAATTGGTATCACAAGAACATCTTTAAATAAATTTGCTATAAGAATGCATGAGATCGGTAGTTAAGAGGAAAAAGTTCTAATTACAATTCATAAAATTTGTTGAATTGCAAATTATAGTGCTTTCAAACCGGGAAATGTTACGGAATACTAGAAAACAAGCCCATATAAAAGCATTAAAAGCATTATGATTCTACTTACTTTGATCGAAAGACTTGAGAGAACTTTTTGTTGGAAGTACAGTGGTGACCATAGAAACTTTTAAAAAAATTATCAAATTTTAGATTAAATATAATAGTCACATATTAATGAAGCATTATCCTGGGTCCTTTTAACTCCTGGGTTCTTTAAACTCTTTTTGAAATGGAGAGATCCCATTTAACCGATGCCGACATTGTGAAATACTATGAACCATGACCACCTAACTGCAAGAAAGTGAAAATATACTCAATTTTAACAGTTGGCTTTCGCGAAGCTGTTGTTGGTTGAGACTTTGAAAAAAATGTGTATCAAACTCCAGGTCAAAAATGAGGCCTCGCGAAGCCGAGGTTTGTAAATTCGTCGTGCGCGCAGCGCGTCGATGGCAATGAACGTTACGAAGGTGCTCTTAAGCCAGACAATGATGCCTAATAAACTGGGTCAAACTAAGAACCAATTGAAACACATCTAAATATAATGTCATAAGACAACAGTCATCTTAACTTACTTTGATCTATCGCTTTTTGAGAAGCTGTTGTTGGTTGTACAGAGGTGGCCGTAGAAGCTTTTAAAAAAATTGTCAGATGGAAAATTAAAACCAATAGTTCGTATTTAATCAGAACATTTTTAGTTGACTATATATTAGGATTCGTGAGATCGGTATTTCGTTAAAATAAAATTCTGGAAATTGATGAATTTGAAACCGATAAAATCAGTTACTACGATTCAGTAAAAAGCTGGTTTACTAACTCAGAACAAACGCCGCTGAATCGTAGCCAACAGTTACCAGCGCCGTACAAACGACTTAATGACGAGATGAAGCAAAACTAACTACGGGAGACCGACTGGAGAACTGAAAATTTGTCTAACAATCGACTACTGTTTAACTGTGACAATAGGCGGATCGAAACGCACCAATTATTGATTACAAGTCTTCACAGCCAATAACATCACGGCTTAATACAACAGACGACCAAGAACATCCCCCCTTGTACGCCCCAGGGTGAAAGTCCCAAGGTAGGGCATTATTGCTGGTTTGGTTTTTTTCGTTGTAAGACGAGTGTATGAGTTTAGCTGTAATGATAAAGTGCAGAGTAAAAGTGTATTACTTACTTTGGTTATCAAACACTTGATTGAAGGTTGTAGAAAGCGTTTGGCTTGAAACAGTTGAGAAAACTGAAAAAGAAAAGGCAAAATTTGAAGATAGCAAGTGGTTTCTCAATGTTTCATCCTAGGAAATGACATGAGACGGCGTGACTTTATGTTTTCAGTATTAGTGGAGCCCTGCTACACGACCACTTCAACTGTTGCCTTATTGAATCACTTTGATTTGTCCTGGCAAAACAGCAAACTAATCTTTGAAAGGAAAACCAACTGAAAAGGAAAATATATATTCCTTTAAACTGAGCGTGTCCGTTGCCAACCCACAAAAACGAAAAACTGCCGCCTCGTTATTACGGCCAAAACTTTTTATGGCCCAGAGGGAAACCCCTCCCCCTCCCCCTACTCCGGATAGAAGGGGAAGGGAGGTCTAATCGACGAAAATTTTTATACAGGAAGGCTACGCCCCATGGTCCAATACTTCACCCCTTTTTATCAATTTTTGATAAAGGTACTACTTCTGAAGACTTAATATATTAAAATGAAACAGCTACTAATATACAGTGTTCGGAATATTTTGCTCAAATCCCCTATGTTTTAAGTCCCAGCCTGAAGCCTTTAAAATCACATTTTTCGGGTGGATACTTCCCCTATAGAGTATAATAGGGAGTACCTCTGTTGTTATTTGCCTTATCAACGGGGTTCTACTGCACAAGAACGTGTAGAAGAAGGGGACCATGAACGAACTACCTTCCTAGTTTAAAGAAAATAAAATCGAAAATACGTACACCCTATTACACTGAATCCCGCCAGACGACCAAAGACTGGTTTTGAATGTCCCAGTTGTTATTTTCTTCAGAACTTTTAATACCTTGAGTTGGTAATACGATCGACTAGTCGAATGGCTTGTTACGTCGAGTGTACGTGAAAAAAAACAATCCGACAACTTTTTTTGTGTAACTTTTCGTTCGAACTATGACGTGTTATTTGTAGCATTTGTCATTCAAATTTTAGACAGTTAGCCACACAGATTATGCTTTCTTGGCTTAACCTCGTCTCCAGGCCCTTTTCGGTTTTCAATATTGCAGCGGCAGGAGAGTTTGGTACGACAAGACGCATGTAAACCGGAAGTGAGGCCTTTTCCCTTTTTACATGCCTTGAGCTAACAAATTTGTAAGGGCGATTTACGGGAGTGTTTCAATCAAACCACTGCCCAATGATGCAAAAAGTCCAGTTCCGGTTGACGTCCATCGCTCAAAAACGCTCTTGCTTAAGCTCCCAATTTAATACCCGATAGGCCCTTTCATATGACCAGAATTTCCTAAAGCAACGATTCTAGTATTATTACATTTTTCAAGGGTGACAGTGTTAAATAAAAAGTCTTCACGTGTGAAATTTCAAAATTGCCATGGCAACGTTCTGTTTTAAAAATGTTGTAAATGACGAATCAGGGTATTAAAAGACGCTTTAGAAAGCCTTAATACATGAAAGAGCACATCAAGAAGAATTCTATCAGCTATTTGTCAAAAAGTTCTGAAAATTACCAAAAACTTAAGCTCTAAACTTTTTAGTGCGTCGAGCTCTCGATAGATATGATACACATATGATAAATATGTGTCACCCAAGATATTAATAAGTGACTAATCAGCTAAACGGTATACTTGTGATATTGGGAAATAATTTCACTTGCATTTTGTCCAAATCCTAAAAACGCGCGTCAAATTATTCCCTAATTTCACTCCTCACCATTTTATTACACATATCAATGATCATGACCAGTTTAACTGATTTTTTACTGGCCTCCAACTTCAGCAAAAAAAAAAAAACAAAACAAAACAACTATCCACCGAAGGGGAGGTGAATAGTGGTGAATATACCGAGATGGGAAGCGTCGAGGTATATATCTAGCGCTGTTCACCGACCATGAGGGGGATAGTTGTTTTAGTATTTACCAAATCAGTTGGATAAAAATGAAAAAAGGAACTTTGTGTAAATAAAAGACGTCACTTAGGCTTTTTTCAAACGTCGTGCTACTGCCGTTCTAAGCTGGCTCGACTTGACTGTAACAGTCGACTTGGTTTCAGACGTCGAATTAACCCAGTCGAATAAAATAGCTGTTGTGGAAAACAAAACATAAAAATAAAAAGCGGTTTAGTAAACTGTTAAAATGTATTCTAATGAATTCAGGAATTATGAATTGAATTCGGGACGGCAAGCTTTGCCGTGCCACACGGCAGTAGCACGACTTGCTTTCAAACGTCGCGCTACTGCCGAGCTAAGGTCGAATTTAGTTCGATCAATTTAGTCCGGCACAGTAGTAGCACGACGTTTGAAACGGGCCCTAGCCGGTTAGAGTTTGTTTACGTTTCAATTCACGGTGTTTCGGAGATCATTTTTTTATGATTTTGTTGCAAACTAATTCGGTAAGAAATTTTTTTTCTACCGACTAGTAAACACCAAGCCAAATTTTGTCTCTTTCTTGATATTTGCTGGTGCCACTGCTTCATTTCCCGCTATAAGTTTTCTTTCTATATTGTCGCGAAACGAGAAGCCATTTTGAATCCCGTCCCAAAACAGTGAATATCCAGGGATATTCCGAGTTGCGGTAGCCAATCAGAATGCGCTAAAATTGCTATTCACTGATTTGGTGAATGCTAAAAATAAATATAATATGCATACGTTAACACATCAAAGAAGAACATTGAGCAAACAGAACAAAACAAAGTGCTTTCTCAGCTTCGTTAACGAAGATGCTTAAATTTGAATTGTCTTAATCTCCTTATTAAGCGAGATATTTGAGTGTCCTAAAATATACCAATGAACTGATTTACGGAACGTTTTCGATTTTGTTCGAAAGTTTACACCGTATAGTTATTTTAAGGTTTAGGTATTCCTTGCTTGTTAGTCGCTTCACTGGATATGATCAAATCAATGACGCTTTAGTAGCAAGCTCTGAGGCGATTCCGGGCCAATATGACACAGAAATTATTTATTATATCTCTTCTTCTATTTAAACAGACCGAAACAAAGCTACTGCTCTGGAACATTTTTGTATTTTGTAGTTAGTGTTATCTTTATTAGCACATTATATGCAATCAACTGGCTAACATGTTGTATGCACGTACGGTGCTGGGTTTAACAGCAAGCAATAGCTCAGCAATGTTCCCTGGTTACGAATATTTCCTTTGTTACATCGTATCAAGTACTGCGTGTTTAAACGCAGAACTAATATTCCTTGTTCTTCGACTGTGTCACTGACGTCACAAACCTCTAAGAGTACGTGACCTCATATTCCTTATAGAAAAAGATATGCAGGTTTATCTTTTTACTTAAAATGTGAAGGAAAAATATAATGACTGTTTTATGTGCTATAGTTTCACTTACGATACAGAAATAGCTAGATATTATTAAACAAACAAGTTTAAGAAACATCCTTGATTAAAACAAAATAATAATTCCACAACGTTTCAACGATGTTAGAACTTAAAGAGGATGTTGATCCTTGGAAACGTTCACATGGAATAATTTTAACCTAAGTTCCTCTTAAACTTTGATGCACATAGCACAAAGAAAACTTAACATACCGTTGAATCAATAGTCTTATGGTCAAATCAATTCAAAACTTTTTAACCTCTTGTTATATACCAAATATGCATGGCTGATCAAGCTCACCCGATCAAAGAAACATGTTATGCACCCTGAAGCTGGATTTCAGCCGAATAAGTTTCATCTAGTAAGTCGGTTTGGGAATTCCTATAACGTGTTATAAAAGGGGAAAATGGTGTTGTATCTTATTCAGAAATTCTTATACATAAAATTAATGTACATAGACGGTAAAGGAATTAAGTTACATATACAGGTGTGTTGGGAAAAGAGATATTGGAAATGCATTGACTGGCCATGATTTTCGAGTTTCATTATGTTGTAGGGCAATTATCACATTCGTTTCGCAAATTATTTAGGAATTTTAACCAAAGGAATATTTTCGAATATCCACAATCATTAAAGACAGGCTTATACATTTAACTACCCGGTCTACCCCCTGAACATTGTTAGAGTACTATATAAATATATCTACTTACAAGTCAAGGCACAAACCGTAAAAATCACCGACCCAGCTTGCGTATTACTAGCCATATTGGTTCTTCGTGAACAAAGCAAAAACTGTGATTCCCCACTACTGATGCGTGCATATGTTTTATACATTACTGTTACAGCTACGTGCGTCTTGACACAAACAAAAGGGCAAACTTGAGCGAATATCACAGTGACATATACAATTACATACAGGAAGTCTTGATTCTCTGTTAGTTTGACCAACTTTACCAAAGTATTTGAAATATTTTCACTCCATCCTTAAACTAGGTCCGGGGCTTTTCTTTTGGAAGGTGCACATTCACGTATACTCTCGCTTTCAGCTGTTTTCTAGTTATGCCCCTCCACAGAACATTGGTTAATATACTCGCCATCTTGACGTGTATCTAGCGTAACTATATCTTTATCCCGGGGGATACTCAACAAATTTTCACACGGGGAGGCTTATTGACAAATGGTACCCCTTCCACATACCTTGTTTAGAATTTTGCATCCCTTTTCACTGCTGTAAATGCACTGTCGTTTAAATAGGAATCAATCACAAAAGAAAAAAACTTTTCTCGACTTTATAAAGCCATAAAATTCATCTATTAGCCCCGTGGGCCCTTTCAAAGACCCAAATGACAGATTTCCCCATCCTTTGGTATACTTCACAGCGCCGTAGCTAGTATGAGGCCAGCCGAGGCACTCGCCTCGGTAAAATTTTGACGAATTTCGCCGATCATTTTTATTTTACATAAGCGATCATCGGATATTTTTAACGCATCATGATATTACAAAGAATTCAGCAACTCAGTCAACATACTATGAAAAAATTACCAGATCATCGATCTCAAGGGGCTACGTACGTTAACTCAAATTTTTTTTGAACAAATACTGATCAAAACCATTGGCGAGGTTAACGGTCACCCAGATTATGTAGTTCACGGTTTCTGATTATTGCTTTTTAAATTCCACTTAAATTAACTCGAAAAAAAGTTACCGAAAGGTCCAGAAAACGCTGCAAATCGCATTTCCGAGAGACTAAAGTTCAAAATTTCTCAAGGGGGGGGGGGTAAAGCCCCCGAACCCCCCTAGCAACTCCCGCCTGCCTCGGTTGGCCGTTTGGTCTGGCTACGGCACTGCTTCAGCGAGTAAAATCCCTCGCCCTTTCATATACCTGAGGCCTGAGAAAGGTATCCCTTTCGGACGTAGCCTCCCCGCATAGGCCATTATAGCGAGTACCCCCCCCGGGATATTTATATACAGTCGAACCTCTCCACAACGGCTACTTAGGGGCTAAAGAAGTGGCCCTTGTGAAGAGGTGGTCGTTATGGGGAGGTAGGGGAGTAGAACATGATTATTGTGCCAACTGAGTCCATGGCTATTTTATGCCATGGTAATCCAATCATAAATGATATATAGAGATAAAATACACACAAAAAAGTAAATGTTTTGAATCAAAATGTGTTAACATGGCAAAACGAGTAGGGCCTGCATTATTCGCTATAAGTATTGTAGACAATTTATGCGTACTGCATCAGAATAAATCTAGCACAATCAAACTACGATTGCCGCGATTAATCATCAACGTGCCATGCGTATCAAATTTCATGACCTTTCTTGACTTTTTCATCAGTCACAGAAAAAAACTGTCGTTGTCAAGAGGTTATATTGGCCGTTGGGGACACACCATAGTGGCCGTTGCCGTTGTAGAGCCGGGTTTAAACAAGAGCCAATGTATGGACTGTCCGTCGGGACAAAAAAAAAGACCGTTGTGGAGAGGTAGCCGTTAGTGGAGGTTCGACTGTAGAAATGTTGTTTTTCAATTTTATCCTCGGCTTAACCCTCTGCGGTTTTTCTGAGTTATTTTTTTTTTTTTTTTTTTCCCTAGACGATCAAACATCAGCACCTGAAGTTTTCATTAGCTGTTGGTTTAATTTGGAGCGTATTTTGAGACAAGATGGTCAATTACTATGGTTACGAGATATGACGTCACAAGTAGTAGGTGGTCAACAAGAGAGAATGAGGTACCTCATTCTCTCTTGGTGGTCAAATCATTTTTGAGTGACAATGCAAGTTTTTTTAACTTCTTTCTATTATAAAAGTAAAGCTTGTGGATAAAATGAAGCAAAATACTTATTTATGCATTTTTTTGTATGTGTAGCTCGAAAAATTACCAATTCCCACCTTTTTTACCTGATTTCTAATTCTTGGTTAATTCCTTGATGGCGGCTAAGATGGCGACCATGTTTGGTGATGTCACAGGTCTCCAGCAGCACCACCACCCATAGAATATACTTCCTGTCGTTAAGAAGATCAAAGGCTTTCAAAAACCCAAGGCAGGTGTTCTACCAATCCTCCCCCTCCCCCTTGTACCACGGTGGGGGAATGACTGCGTGTACGTCCGAGGGTTAAAAGGTTAAATGTGTTTTTTTCTTGGGGTATGGTAATATTTGATAATGAGTTTAAAACAAAGGAAATATAGTTTACACCAAGGAAACATATACGCAGATTTATATGACGAGTTAGGCATTAAGGTACCTACTGACGAAACAGGATAAGAGGGGCTTGAAGGTGCTGCTGTATGCTTCTAGGGAAATCAACAGTAATTTTCTAGGAGCTGCTCCTAAGGTGTGTTTCCTCATTGGTCGCAGAAAACAATGACACATCATTGTTTATCATATGATTATTTCCAATCTGACAGATCCTTAAGGTGGCCGATATCTGATGTCTGAAAGAGAAATAGGCACCATTGCCCTAATAGCTAAAACCGAATAATTTCTATCATGACAACATCAGTGTTTAGCACAGAAGGGGAAAAATTTGTTTTGAAGGGTGGCTTTAGTAAGATAAGATAAGACAACTTTATTTAGACACGGTAAAGTCCTTCAGGCAATTACAAAGGAATAGAAAAAAAAGAAAACCCAGCAACTTATGATATTATACAATAGAATTAAAGAACGAATTTACTTAAATTTAACTAACACTGATCGTAAAAAAGAAAACTTCCTGCTTTACAAGGACGCTGTGTAAAAACCACCCTACTCTGGAAAATTGTGTCAACGAAACTTGTTTTGAAACTTGTCAGTGACGACGCCTGCCTTAAATGTTCCGGTAAACTATTCCACAACCGGAGCGTTCCACAATAACTGAAACTCTTTTGGAAGGTTTCAGTACCGGGAAACGGTACTGCCAGTTTGTTTACGGTATTTCTTACGTAAGGATGGCGTTAAGTCCATATGATTAATAAATTTTAACCTCAGATACTCAAGAGTTTCATTATTATGAGCCTTATTCATAAGAATAGATAAATCGACATCGACCTTACGTTGCAGTCCTAGTTTATGCCAATTGAGTGACTAAAGAGCTCATCTATCATGGTTAGCATCGTTGTTAGTATACGAGCAGCGCAGTTCTGTAGTTTTTGAAGCTTCTGGGAGTGGCCATTGTTACAACGCGCCTAAGCTGCGCTACAGTAATTGAATTGTGGCTGTACAAGAGCGAGAAAAATAGTGAGCGTGAGTTTCACGCGGAACAGTTTCTGACCTCCAGGTGGCTGCCAAAAGAACTGCATAATAACAAAGCGAAACGCGCGCGTGCGCAGCACCATACCCATCCGAGAAAATTTGGTATGGCGTGACCGCGTACACCGAACTACCGTCCGTTCACACCTCAGGAAAACCAATGTTTAATCTTACACTTTCTAGTTAGTTTGGGAGCCCAGGAACAACCTGATATTGCACTCATATTGCACATAAATGTTGAAATCAATTGACAGCTGTCAAAACAGGGTATCCGCTGACCAGTATCACCTGACCGTATGGCGGGCTCCGGAATCGACCCATCGACGTCGAGTATTGTTTTAAAGTTATCCGCTGACAAGTTACTTCTGTTCAAATGATCGCAGGCTAAAGTTCATTTTTTTTTAATTCATATGAAATAAGTTCTTTTATGTGCCGCACTATTAAAATTTTGATTTCAAACTATCCTCGCAAGCGAAAATTCAGCCAGCTGTTACAGGGAGGGAAGACAGTTGCTTTTGACTTTGTCACCATGGTCACGCGTTGGTCACGCTCTACGTCCAACGTTTATGCCCTGATTGGTCAAAATTTGACAGGTGATTTCATGCGCAAAATCTATGCATCATCTTGAAACTTGCTTACTTTGACAGCTGAAGCTGACAGAGTTTTGTGTCAACTTGTGATGTTTTTAACTGTCTTTTTCCACTGGATGTCTTAAATGAAATACAGCTGCTATCAAGAGTCTTCTGTTATTCATGGCTGGTTTGTTTATCGGGTTTTTGGTTGAGAAATGCGCCGCTTGTCAAAGTTGAAAATCCTATTTCGGATGGAATCGTTTTTGTTTTCCACCTTGCTTGATGCGCAAGAGGGTTGCAAAGTCTAGAGCGTTTCTGGCCATACTTTATAGCTGTCAGGAGCTGCATCTCGAATGGAAAGCCTGAGTAATTCTTGTATCTGATGTTTACTTTGTTTGTTTGGTTTTGTTTTGTTGTTGTTTTTTTTTTTTCTAATTTCATGAAGTCGAACGTATTTTAATTTATGCGGCTTGTTTGTGCACGTTTGTAAGATTTGAGACAATGATCTGACCTACCCTATCAGGTTTGATCAAATCAATCATTCAATCATTTATTTTAACACGTTACGTCAAAGAGCTAAAAAAACTCGTTCAAACGTGTATAAATAAAATCTATAATAATTACGGCTATGTTATAATATTATTCAATTTTAAAAACAACCCAATAAATATATACATATAAAAAACTTGGTAATAAAAACATGAAATATAAAAAGATAAAACCGACTAAAAAGCCACATACTAAAAACGTGAGTAGAAAACTATAATACTCGTTCTAAAAACAGTTAAAAGCTACAATCGTGCGTTATAAGACACTTTCTAAAAAGCTGCAATCGTGCAATTTACTTCTGAAGTCATTAGCATCACTTGAAAGAGGCACTTGAGAAGGCAAACTGTTCCATAACTTAGTTAATGAATAAGTGAAAGAATTCTTCTTAAATTTAAGATTAAAGTTAGGTAATTCCAAATTCAAGCCCTCGCCTCTCAGCCTATACGGTGTATTCTTGTATTTAAAAAGGCTTCCACAGGGCTTC